ATCCATCTGAGCCGCGCCAAGAACGAACCAACCATTAATAACGTCTCGTATTACCTCTCGCCCAAACAACGACCAAAATATTTTTACCTTTACAATACTCTACTTTGTCATTTCTAAGAAAAATTTGTTTTTCTTTTTCTCTCGAACGAGAGAATTCGAAGAGAGCAACCTAAGTAAATAAATAAATAATAAAATACAAAATTCCTGATTCAACGACTCCCAATTAAATTAAATTTTATCATATAAATAAATACATGAAAGATGAATCGAAAGACTTCCTTAACTAACTTCTTAAAAAGCAAGACACAGGGAGCAAAGGTCGAACAGCCTTGCTTTTGAAACTATGAAGGTAAGTTTCCCTCCGGGGGTGTCTTGTCGGTGTTGTCGCGGATGGGATCATGCAAGCTGTGCTCCCCTCCCTTCCACGGCGGAACCTCTTTGCATATACATTCTGTAAGATTACTTTGCGCGGTTTACACCCAGCCTTGCTCGTCCTTCACAACGCGGCCCCCGAAATTCGAGCGAGCTCTCGCTTGCCTTGCCCACCAGGCAAACTACCCTGCCAAGAGTTTCGCCTAGAAGAGAGGGTCCCTAATGTATGCGAAACTATATATATAGATAAAGCAGAGAGAAATTCCAAGTTCGGCGTGTTACCCACCTTTACGATGAGTATCCTTCCTATCCTTGTCTCTCACGGTTAGAAAAGGGGGTAGAGAGAGAGGAGAACACGCGTGATCCTAATTAGAACGCGTCCTCGTCGAGGTGTCGAAGTAAAAGCGGCTTTCTTGTTTCGAGGGAGTTGTTCGAGAAAGGAAGAGTCGCAATTGAAAAACGAACGGAGGTAAGATCCGTTCGAGGGGAGAAGGAAAGGGGGGAGATTCTCGGGAAAATTCTCACGGAGGTACATGGCTTAATAGTATTCTTTACCACCCACATTTTTTGGGAATTTACATAAAAACGAGCCGGGGCCAGAGGTGACTACGAATAACCGCATTAACTTGCCCATCGTTTTAATATTTTTCGTTAACCAGCTGCATGAAATTGTAATGAATTTCCGACCGATGTTGTATCTCTTATTCGAAACCATATCGCGTATAAAATAATAATAAATACGTATTTTTAATTCTCAAATACAGTGATATTAATAAAGAAATCGATCATCGATCTTTAATATAAAAAAAAAAAAAAAAAATTTCATCAATAATTAAAAAAAAAGGAATAAAGAAATCGATCATCGATTTTTAATAAAAAAAAAAAAAAATGTCATCAATAATAAAAAAAAACGAATAAAGAAATCGATTATCGATCTTTAATATAAAAAAAAAAAAAATTTCATCAATAATTAAAAAAAACCCAATAAAGAAATCGATTATCGATCTTTAATATAAAAAAAAAAAAAATTTCATCAATAATTAAAAAAAAACGAATAAAGAAATCGATCATCGATCTTTAATAAAAAAAAAAAAAAATGTCATCAATAATAAAAAAAAACGAATAAAGAAATCGATCATCGATCTTTAATAAAAAAAAAAAAAATTTCATCAATAATTAAAAAAAAACGAATAAAGAAATCGATTATCGATCTTTAATATAAAAAAAAAAAAAAAATTTCATCAATAATTAAAAAAAAACGAATAAAGAAATCGATCGTCGATCTTTAATAAAAAAAAAAAAGGTCATCAATAAAAAAAAAAAAGAAAAAAGAAATCGACTATCGATTTTAAATATACAAAAAAAAAAAAAAATTTTCTCCAATAATAAAAAAAAAACAAAAAAAGAAATCGATCAGCGATCTTTAATAAAAAAAAAAAAGGTCATCAATAAAAAAAAAAAAGAAAAAAGAAATCGACTATCGATTTTAAATATACAAAAAAAAAAAAAAATTTTCTCCAATAATAAAAAAAAAACAAAAAAAAAAAAAAATTTCATCAATAATTAAAAAAAAACGAATAAAGAAATCGATCATCGATCTTTAATAAAAAAAAAAAATGTCATCAATAATAAAAAAAAAACAAATTGGATAAAATTCGAAACGCGCGAGGGAATCGTCCCTTTCGAACGAATTCGAATTCCCAGAGCTCTCCCTAATCGGTGGCATAATCATTCGTCCCGTCGCGTATCAAACGGCGGCTGCATTCAATGACCCATAACGAGGCGTTCGAGGAAAGCACGGCGGAAAATTACGTGAAACGTGTTGGCGACGCGGCACGCGACACAACGTTGGCCGAGGGGCTCATTAAGGATTCGAGGGGCGGAATACAGGCGGCCATGCCGCATGATAATTACAGCGAAAGAAAGCACCGGCTCGGAGAGAGGGAAAGAGCTCCCGAGAGATTACAGGATGTCCGGAGGTGAGAGGATTCCCCCGAAACCCTATCTCGACGACTAATAAAAATTAACAACCTCGAAGGCCGGCTCGAGGGAGGATTCGTGAAGAAGGATACGATGAAAGACGGGCCGCCACAAATAGATGATGACGGGTGAATAATAAATAATTATCGTTGGGGCCCACGCGCCACCCGTGAGGCCCCTTTGCGGCTCGCATAGAGCACATATTCGTTGTCGAGTTTCCGGTTTATAAGTTTATATGCACGTACAGGTTCCTTGGGATGGACAATCTAGATATAGATAGGAATTGTAGGCCACCCAGACTTTTACAGAGACGATTTTATGATTACCAAATAAATTGTGATTATTATTTTCAAGAAACAAACGCTTTTTTGTAAATAAAAATCAAACTATGGATCCATCTTGTAGATAAAGTGACAGGAGCCGTAAGTTTAGGAAAATTAAAATTTTTTTTTTATATACTAAATGACTTCTTTTTATCGATAATGTATACTTTCACTCTTTACTCTTTTTGAAATTAATAAAAAAATTATGAAATAAAATGTATTGTGTTGCGGGTCTATTCGAAAAAGTACGAATGTTCCACGTGGCCGATCGTTTTAATCGGAACGATAAACATATCGAAATAATGATGGAGGATCGAGCATTTGTAAATCGTGCGAGCGGTTCGCGGCGGAAAGGGATCCTCCCGCCCCCTCCTCCCGTACACCTTCCTCCACTTTTAATTTTCAGGCGCGGCTAATTATGATTTACGGCAACATCGACGCAACATCCTGATCGGTACGCGAGATACCGCCCGCAGGATATTCAAATGCGATGAATATTGCTGGCCGCGATAAACGGCGCACGAACAGCGACAGACGAGATGAGAAAAGGAAAGGGGGAGAGAGAGGCGAAATGGCTGCGAGACGAGTGGAAGGGAGAGAGACGACGCAGGGGCCGAGTGGAGGGGAGGCGCGCGTGTAAAGGATACGAGAAAAGGATTCTTAGTAGTCTATTCGGTATGCAAGATGAGCAGTCAGACTTGTACGCGCCGCGTCCCTTCTTCGCGAAAAGGGAAGAGAAAAAGAAAGGATGCGTATCCTTGCGTGTGGATTATTCGATGTATCGAGAACCGAGAGCATCATAACCTTTTCTCAGCCGATAATTCAGTGTCAAAGAGTTCGAGGAGATGAGAGGTTATGATTTGAAAGAGAAACGTTTAAAAACACCTTGTGTTATTAACCGATCTTATCTCTAGGGGAAATAAAAGATACGTATTTATAACTGCTGTATGCCGGTTCATACGTGTTCTCACATGAATTACACCCGCGTGAAGATCATAGCCAGATAGTGCAAGCATTCTGTTAGAGCTTAAGTAATTTGTCGATATCTTATATGGGACAAGAGATGGGCAGGAGAATTAACCGTTGATGATTACGCCGTTCCTATGTTTAATGACTATTTCAATGCTATTTAAGTCGAACACGCGGCATCGTCGAATAATTAACTGCGGACAATACGATTTATTGCGTTAATAATAATACCATTTCGATATTCTTTCATCCAAGCTTCTATATTTACTCGTTATAAATTCAAAGCTTGAAATTAAATAATATCGAAAATGTAGACAAAAGTAATTGAAAGTTATTGTTAGAAACGATATTTCGTTGAATAAAAATGACTGAGACTTAATATAATTTCATTCATTAGAGCAAATTTTTATTACAACTTATTAATAAGATTAATAATTCTAATCTCATTTCATTTTCGATTGATAAACTAAAAAAAAACGAAGAATCTAAACACTTGAAAGAATTTTACGATATATCTTATTTCGATATTTAAAATTACTCGATTCATTAGTTCCAATAGAGAGGATAATTCCGCGAATATATATTCGCGACATGTAGTCGAACGTATAAACGAACAATATGTTATAATGTATATATATATATATATATATATATATATATATA